GAGAGAGAGAGAGAGAGAGATGCTACCAGCATCTGTCTGTACAATTAAACTGACCTTGAGTTGTCTTTTCAGAGCTCCGCTAGCTTTAATTATGGCCGTGTGTGTGTGTGTGTGTGTGTTTGTCAGTACGTTGCTCATGCATGTGTGAAATAGTGTTGGTCTTTTCAAGTGTGCGTGTGTGTGTGTGTGTGTGTGTGTGTTTGTCAGTACGTTGCTCATGCATGTGTGAAATAGTGTTGGTCTTTTCAAGTGTGTAAGTGTGTAAGTGTGTGTGTGTGTGTGTGTGTGTGTGTGTGTGTGTGTGTGTGTGTGAATTCTGTGGCTTTGATGTACAGCCAGATCTTAATGACTTTAAATGTTCTTATTAAGTGGTCAAACATTGATGAAACTGTCTAACACACAGTCTTACTTAATGTCAGATTGTATCTAAATGAGAAAAAAAACATAATGCTAAACTACACTGGAAAAGGCCTGACATTTGGTGCGGTACTGATAGTATTGCACATAATTTTACACATTTCTACCAGTCCTGCGATTATAATACTCGAAATTCCTGTAAATAGTTATTCAATATAACAGGTTGAATGAGTAAATGAATGCACACAGATGAACAGATCAGATCAATCTTTCTGTCAGACTGTAATTTAACAAACAACGCCAGTGAATCCAGTTATACTAGTAAAAGGGCTGATAGCACACAAAATGTGTAGTGTGATTGCTCTTTATTTTTGTATATTTAAATTCATTCATTAAACTAAATAAATTAAATTCAAAAAGGCACTGCCTTGCACTAAAGAAACATCCCCGAAACACCATCTACAGTAGTATCCGAGTTTTAAGTATATGTTAAAAACAACAACATGAATATAACTGAGCACATAAATGTATTCATTTATAAAAGGAATGTGATATCATTGTCATTTTTTTTAAATAAGTCTAAAATATGGCTCACTTCATTCCATGCTCAGATTAAAAAAAAAACACATTTATTTAAATTATTTCAGTGTATTTACATTTTTAATTTACATTTTTAAGATAAAAAATACTTGTTTTTATGGAATTTTTTTATTTTATTTTTACTTTCTTTTCTTTTCTTTACTTTCTTTTTTTTTATTTTCAGTGACGTGAAATCAATAACTGCTGAATGTATTCAGAAACAGATGGAGATCTTTTATTTGTATATATTTTTAGTCTTACAGTACATTTAAATAGTCAAAAGTAAAAATAGACTATGTCATCTGTCAAGCTGCACAAGCCTATGGCGACGAAGCCCACCAAAGCCTGCCAGAAAGGGCGGGGCATCTGGCTATATAAGCGGGCGCTCGCCACAGGATTCTCAGATTTCTTCTCCTTCAATGACGACGCAGCAGTTCCGGTCCGTTTCTGAGCGATCGCATGCCGGCACTGTACCCGCGTGCTCGCTCTCCCCGTTGCACTCGGATCCGCCGCAGAAGGGCAGTGAGCTACGCGCTTACTGAGACAAAATGCTCACTCGAGCATGAGTCTCGCTCTTCTCCACTCGCGGTCCGCCTCCACTGGAGACAGCCCCGCTCTCCCGTTTCTCCTCTCTCAGCGAGCCTCGGAGAGAGAAACAGCGGAGTCAGGGAGCTAAGCAACCAGGTCTGAGCGATCGCATGCCGACACTGTACCCGCGTGCTCGCTCTCCCTGTTGCACTCGGATCCGCCGAAGAAGGGCAGCCCAGCTCTCCCGTTTCTCCTCTCTCAGCGAGCCTCGGAGAGAGAAACAGCGGAGTCAGGGAGCTAAGCAACCAGGTCTGAGCGATCGCATGCCGACACTGTACCCGCGTGCTCGCTCTCCCCGTTGCACTCGTATCCGCCGCAGAAGGGCAGTGAGCTACGCGCTTACTGAGACAAAATGCTCACTCGAGCATGAGTCTCGCTCTTCTCCACTCGCAGTCCGCCTCCACTGGAGACAGCCCCGCTCTCCCGTTTCTCCTCTCTCAGCGAGCCTCGGAGAGGGAAACAGCGGAGTCAGGGAATAAGCAATCGGTCTGACTGATCTCATGCCGGCGCTGTGCCTGCGTGCTCTCTCTCCGTTGCACTCGGATCCGCTGCAGATGGGCAGTGAGCTAGTACGCGCTTACTGAGACAAAATGCTCACTCGAGCATGAGTCTCGCTCTTCTCCACTCGCAGTCCGCCTCCACTGGAGACAGCCCCGCTCTCCCGTTTCTCCTCTCTCAGCGAGCCCCAGAGAGGGAAACAGCGGAGTCAGGGAATAAGCAATCGGTCTGACTGATCTCATGCCGGCGCTGTGCCTGCGTGCTCTCTCTCCGTTGCACTCGGATCCGCCGCAGAAGGGCAGTGAGCTACGCGCTTACTGAGACAGAACGCTCACTCGAGCATGAGTCTCGCTTTTCTCCACTCGCGGACTGCCTTTCACTGAACAGCCCCACTCACATGTTTCTCCTCTCTCAGCAAGCCTCGGAGAGAGGAACGACGAAGCCTGGGAACTAAGCAACCGGGTCTGAGCGATCTCACGCCGACACAGAGCCTGCGTACTTGCTCTCCCCACTGCGCTTCGATCCGTGTCTCACACAAAAGGATCAGTGCCCCTCTTTACATCGAGTGGCTCTATCCTACAAAGTAGATCGGAGGAGATGCTGCCACTGACAACTTCAAATTTGTGTGTGTGTCACTATGGCTGCGCTCACAGACACGGGCCGCTTTTACCACAAAAGCAGTCTGGCCCCGTTCGTTCGCGGAAGGCAGCCCCGCAATATATGGACCTTCCCTTCGGACTGTCCCTGACCCCCCGCACTTTTACGAAGTGCATGGATGCGGCTCTCTCCCCTCTAAGACAGATTGGAATCCGTATTATCAATTACCTCGACGACTGGCTCATTCTGGCCCAGTCGGAGGCAGAATTAATATCTCACAGAACCCTCCTCCTCAGCCACCTGGAGTGCCTGAGACTCAGGGTCAATTTTACCAAGAGCACTTTGCTTCCCAGCCAGCGAATTTCGTTCCTGGGAACAATTTTCGACTCAGCCCAAATGAAAGCTGTAGTCACGCCGGAACGAGCTCTGGCCATACGGAGGCTGGTGACCTCCTTCAAGATCGGTACCGCTCGCCTTCTCAAAGCATTTCAAAGGAGGCTTGGCCTCATGGCAGCAGCATCTCCAGTTCTACAGTTGGGTCTGCTGCGTATGCGCCCCCTTCAGCGCTGGTTAAAACCACAGGTTCCATCCCATGCGTGGAGTCACAGACGCCTGCATATCAGGGTGAGTCAGGCCTGTGTATCGGCCCTGACCCCCTGGAAGAACTCCTGCTGGATGGAACAGGGCGTGGCCATGGGGATGGTTCACAGAAGGACAGTTGTTACGACAGACAGCCTCCAACTCAGGTTGGGGGGCGCTGTGCGAGGGCATACCGACCTTCGGCCACTGGTTGAAGGCGGAAAAAGGCTTCCACATCAACTGCTTGGAAATACTAGCAGCATGTCGAGCCTGTCAGTTCTTCCTGCCAGTCCTAGAAGGGCACCATGTGCTAATCCGATCGGACAACATGACTGTGGTATCCTACATAAATCGCCAGGGAGGCATCTCCTCGAAGCGCCTCTTCACACTGGTAGAGTGCTTCTTAGACTGGGCTCAACCCAACTTGCGCTCGCTGAGGGCAGCTCATATACCGGGCAAATTGAACCAGGGAGCGGACATGTTATCAAGGAGCAATGTCCCCTTAGGGGAGTGGACGCTCCATCCGCAGACGGTTCAGATGATCTGGGAGATCTTCAGTGAGGCTGAGGTGGACCTCTTCGCCTCAGAAGACAACTCTCACTGCCCAATCTATTTCTCAAAGACCAGGGACGCGTTGGCCCACGATTGGCCCAACCTCCTTTTCTATGCTTTTCCCCCGATCGCTCTGATCCCACAGGTAATCATGCGAGTGACGGAACAAGAACACAGGGTTCTCCTGGTGGCCCCCCTTTGGATGAACCAGCTGTGGCTATCGGAGCTAACTCAGCTACTGATAGCGGCCCCTTGGCCTGTTTCACTGAGACAGGATCTCCTCTCTCGGGGCATTATGGCATCCTCGGCCCGACCTATGGGCCCTGCACCTCTGACCGCTCGACGGGAGCCTTCGTGCCTCCCAGATAGAGTCTTAAACACAATTTCGGAGGCTAGAGCTCCATCTACAAGACGCCTCTACGCCTTAAAGTGGTCTTTTTTCTCCATTTGGTGTCTAAACCAAGGCAAAGACTCCCTCACTTCTGAATTGGCAGAGGTGTTGTCATTTCTACAAGAGCTGCTGGATAAGGGACGTTTCCTATCCACGCTCAAAGTCTATGTGGTGGCTATAGCGGCCTCTCATGTCTGCAGTCTGCCAACATTAGGTCGCTATCGCTGAAGACTGCTCTACTTCTAGCACTGGCATCAGTAAAGCGAATAGGGGACCTCCAGGCGCTCTCTATTAGCCCTGCCTGCCTGGAATTCGGGCCTAATTACTTTAAAGTCTCTGTCTTCCAACTGAAGAGGACAGAGAGCTATCTCTGCTCCGCCCCGTCAGAGCTTTGAGAATCTATATTGAGCATTCTGCTCCCTATAGGCGATCGGAACAACTCTTTGTCAGCTTCGGTAACAGCCCCAAAGTGCTTCCGGTTACAAAGCAAAGACTCTCTAGATGGATAGTAGACTCAATCTCGCTAGCGTACTCTTCCTTGGGCCTCCAATGCCCCAATGGAGTACGGGCCCACTCGACTAGAGGCATCGCCTCGTCGTGGGCATGGTCCAGTGGTGTGTCCATTGCGGATATTTGTGAGGCGGCTGGCTGGGCCTCACTGTCCACATTCGCAAGGTTTTATAACCTGGAAGTCCTTTCTGCTTGAAGTGGCACGCGCTGCATAAACAGATATGGCAGAGAGCCCTTGGCCGTATCACGCCCAAGTTCTCTGGCATTGTTTCACCTGTTAGCTCTCGACCCCTGGGTGTTGAAGTTACGGGAATACTCTGGAACGATTAACCAGGCCAGGTGTGACCTAGAAAGCTCAGCCCGTCTTAGCATTGGGTTATTGTTGACTACTCTATGAGCATTGGTTGCTTATGGAAGTTTATACCTTTAGTTGTTCCACTACATTAGCATGGCGTGATTGTACAATGTTCCCATATTAACAGAAGTTAATGTGGGAAATATGGGAATATTAACAGTAGTTAATATGGGAACTTAAGCAAGACGCAGTACTTGTCAGGGTTCTGTCACTTCGGTCTAGTGTAATTCATAGTTTTGTGACAGAGCCCTGACACTCGCGTCATGTCATTGTTTTCATGTGAGCGTGCGGCTTCGAGTGTGCTCGAGCCGTGCGCTCTCGTCTGCGTGTACTGTTTCATGTTGGAGCGTGGTGTTCAGATCCCGGCACTCATGTCTTGAGTTTCGGTTTCGTGTCGGGGTCCGGACACTCGCGCTCCATGTTCTGTCTGTTGTGGGAGCGTGCGGTCTCGAGTTCGCTCGGCCGTGCGCTCTTCTGTCCACGTGTGTTGTGTTTTGTGTAGCACGCGTTTTGTGTTCAGCCGCGTGCTTTTCTTGTTGTCTTGTGTGAACATGCGGCTTATGAGTTTTATCATTAGCTGCGTGTTCGTGTCTTTTGTTATAGCACATGGCTTGTGATTTGTTTTGCTGGCCATGTGCTTGTGTTTTGTTTTGTGTGAGCACATGGCTTTTTGTCTTTGATTCGGTGTGCCATGTGCTCATGTCAATTGTCTTGACCCCTCCCATCTTGTTACCTGATTACTAGTTAATTTGCCCCACATGTGGTCCCTCGTTACCCTCCTCATTTGCTCTCCATTTATTCTCCTTGTGTTTGCAGTCCTGCGTCGGTTCGTCTTCATCATTTCTCCCTGGATGTGTCATGTCGTGTCCAGATCCTGCCTTGCCTTGCCTTGCCTTGCCAGCCTGTTTCTCCCCCACGGGGTAGTTTTTGTTGCTGTTTTGTTTATTTTTATTATTAATAAAAGCCCATTCTCTGCCGTACTGAGTCCTCGCTCCATCCTCTACCCAGACCCTGACAGTACTAGTGAAGTATCAAAAGGGAACGTACTCGGTTACTAATGTAACCTCGGTTCCCTGAGATACGGGAACGAGTACTGCGTTGCTTGCCATGCTATGTAGCTGCATGACTCAGTCGTCGCTTCAGTCGAAGTAAACCTGAGAATCCTGTGGCGAGCGCCCCCTTATATAGCCAGATGCCCCGCCCATTCTGGCGGGCTTTGACGGGCTTCGTCGCCATAGGCTCGTGCAGCTCCGCTGCCGAGTCATTGGTTTGCTTTTTAAGCACTGCACGAACCAATGGCCGTGCAGTTTCACTGCATGAATGAAAACGCTTCAGTTCAGGAGAAAAAAGGCTTTTTCCCATATGCGCCTTAAGCAAGACGCAGTACTCATATCCCTATATCAGGGAACCAAGGTTACGTTTGTAACCGAGTACGTTTTAAATAAGTTACAACACACACAGAGAATTTCCATCAATGGTGTAATAGAACAGAAGAGACTTCATTTACCTAAAAATATACATAATACTGTACATATAAATTATGTGCTTTACAGGTTAAATCAGTATATGAATCAATACATTATACCTCTTCGATATTCTGATATTAAATAAATTAATGCTGACACCAACTATAGATTTTTTTAATTATTATGAAATAATTATTGACAGTGTTGTTGTACACAATGGACTCTTTAATAGACCATATAATGAACTGTTTCTTCTCCCACAAACAGTGACAAAACTTCAGTTTTGAGGTCATTTGACTGAATATGCAATAATATTTAGAATGGTTCACATTAGAGAAAGGATACAAGCTAAAAAAAAAAACAGATGATCATTTACATGTAGTCATTTAGCAGACACTTTTATCCAAAGCGACTTACAAATGATGACAATAGAAGCAATCACAATAAAAGAACACCGAAACACTGCAAGGCAGATCTCCAATAAATCATGATGAATGAATTTGTTCTGACTGCTCCAATCACAATGGAGATTGACTGATTATGAGTTTATAATGCCAAATATGATTATAATGCTAAAAGAGAGCTGCTGAATTGATAATATGCACTTAAATGTTACTTATATCTTTTGTTTTTTGCATTTGATGACCATTTATGCCTGTAGCGCTATTGCCTGCCTTACAGAACGGTCTCAGAGATCTGAATGTTTCGGTGTATTTGTTTGCAGGTGACGGATATGTCTGGATGGTATCTGACAGGAGCGGATGGGGAGGGGCTTGTGTGGGCGGTGCCCAGCAGAGAGATGGCCCACCAGCTCACTGTCAGCAAATCAGACGTGCAGACTCACCTGACAGCACCGTACTTCTGGAGCGCCCCATCTGCTTACCTGCGCAAGAAAGTGAGTGCTTGTGTGAGTGTGTGTGTGTGTGTGTGTGTGTGTGTGTGTTAATCTAAGCCGGCACACTGTGCTGATGTATAATGTGCTGTAATGATGCTGTCACATGACCACAATACAGATATCATTTATCATCATTATGTTACAGGCTCATTTAGCCTTTCATTTGCCCTTGATTTAACTTCAGTGTCTGCAGGGGGAGAGACACAGCCGGGGACTTTAAACACAAGCATAATGGGAGTATGAAAAATTTAATCAGAACCGAATTGTCTGAGAATCACCATTTCATATCAGAATGTGTAAATAAGTGGCTGTTTACACTAAAAGTGTTATATAATAATATATAAGTGCAGATGGATGTGCTGAGGCCTTTAAAAGAACATCTGAAGATGCACCTCTTCCCTCAGAGCTCAACTAATCCACAGTTATAACATAACATGACATTTTTATAACTCCTACTTCTGGTATGTAACTTGTGTACTAATCTTGTTTATACTCTATTATCATGTTTACTCAAGACTTAAACTTTGAAAGGCAAATTAAGATTTTTAATGAAACAGTTCATCAGCTATTCATCATATAAAGTTATTGTGTCTCTTCACAAGACTTGGACTAACCCACTCAATTCATATGGATTTGTTTTATAATGCATTTATGACCTTTTTGAATCTTTTACGTTTTGGTTGCGTCGTGGATTTCAAGGCAGGGACAGATACCTCTCAGGCTTTGTTAAAATATCTTAATGCATGTTTTAAATATTAACTAAAGGAATAACATTCACATTAAGATTAGTAATGTACATTAAGAAAGGGCTGTAAATGGGGGTCGTCACCAATTCATATGCTCCTTCCCACACATTCAGCAGTGAACGAGCATTAGAAGAATGAACAAACCCTGAACACACACACACACTCATGAATATGCATGTGATTTTTCTACGTATTCAGATGTGTGATGTGGGAATAAACCTTGAGCTGTTAAAGTGGGTCAGCATGTGCCGCTGATGTGCTTTGACCTCTGAACTCTCTCCACTGCTAATGATGCCATTACTCTGAGTTTAAAGGCACTGTCAGCATTCATCTAAAAGGCTTTTCATATCCACGTAGATACGTTTAATTGACTTTTACAAATTTAAATGAAGAATACATCCTCATTGAATGCACTGACCAGTTACTTATGTAAAAAAAATGTTTCAGGGTGTCTTCTGATGCCTGTCAAGAACATGACCAGGTCAACAATTACAGTTTTCATAAAGAAATTAAAGCTTATCTTTAAGATCATTAGGATTATTTGCACTGTGACATTCGTTTCATGAAAATAAAGTACATTGTCCACCAAATCCACATGACTATATAAGGCAAAATAAAATAAATAAATAAATTACAAAAAAATAAAATAAATGAACAATATTTTTTCCTCTGCTTTTGCAGTGTAATATGCATAGAAGCACTTTTCTGCCACAGAATTAAAATAAATAAATAAAAGTTACTTTTTATCCCCACAATTGCAAGTTTATATTTTTACAATTCTGTTTTTTTGTTTCAGAATTGCAGGTTTATATTTCACAGTTCTGAGTTTACATCTTGCAATTGTGAATCTATATCTTACAATTCAGTTTTAAAAGACTGATAACTTTTGATAATGTTTTTATGGCTTTTGAGTCAGACATTGTGTACTTGTTTAACACTGGAACATTTAATGCTTTCCCTAAAAAACAGAACATTACAGTAGATTTAGATTGACATGCACTTTACACACGTTTGTATTCGCATAATTTTTATTGGGTATGTGACATAAAAGTTATTAAATGCTGGATCCTATGAGTTCATACAGATTCACTCTTTGTACAGAGTAGCTGCATATTTGACAGGGTGTCTGGTGATAGGGTGAGCGTGATTTCACCAAGTACAACATGTTCCTGGATCAACATCCTTGTTGATCCTGGAACAACATTCCTATCAACCAATCAGAATTGAGGGATAACTTTTCAGGAAATATCTGTTTTAGGCTTACCGTCAGGGTTAGGTGCTTCTACACCCTTGTGTATCAGCTATCATTTCACACTGTTTTTAGGAATAAATTATGGGTAGGGTTAGGTTTAGGGATAGGGATTGGGTTTAGTCTATATTTTTGGACAGTAATGTTGATCCAGGATGAACAAAAGATGTTGATCCAGGAACATGTCTTACTTGGCAAAATCACGGTGACCCTGGTGATAGTTTATCTCTATGGCAACAGCCTCCTTCGGTAAGATGACGTTAAATAAGAGACCTGCTCATACTTCCACAGAGACTTTCAGACATTTTTACATTAAGAGTTTAAATGGTTGTGGACAAAGTACACATTACCTGGAAATTGTGGGTCTTTACCACGCTCGCTCACGGATTTCATACGCAGACTGGTGTTTCACATGGTGTGATGGAAATTATGTGCAATTTGATACCCCTTCCTGAAAAAAGGAACTTTTACATAAAATATTCCCAAAATCACTTTTTTTTCCGTGGACATGCCACAAAACCAATTTTCAAATGATTTCCATGTGATTAAACTAGAACACACAAAGGGGTTGTTAATAAAAGTTTGAATGTTTGACATAACCTGCAAAAGTATCTTATAAAACCAATCAAAAGTTTTGGTCCTGGATTGATCAGTGCATCGTTCCAGTTGTGTTATATTGAAGAAATACCACACAATCAAGAGCTGTCACACCAAATATCAGCTGTCAATCAGCCGTGGGTAATGCTGATATCCAGACCAGACTGTGAGTGGCATATCTCATTTATATCTGTGTATTTCTTGTATATTATATTGATTAACATGCATTTTAGTTGCAATATTGCCAGTTATTTTATATTGTTTGATCCACCAATGAAAAAAGTTGCAGAGACACAGCAGAACGTCTCAGGTTACGTATGTAACCATGGTTCACTCTAGGGGTCGCTATGGGGAACGCCTCGTCGTGACCCATGTCTGAAGCATACATTGAAAAAACACCAACAACATGTTGGCCGGCGACAGCCATGACATCACTACCGGTGCGACTATAGTATAAATAGGCGCCGGGAGCTACACATCATTCACTTCTTCGTCTGAAGCTTGCGTTCGAAGCATGGCAAGAAACCTAGAGGCTGCAGTGTCTCGTTCCCTACTCAGTGAACCATGGTTACATAAGTAACCTGAGACGTTCCCTTTCATGGGAACTTCGAACTGCGTCCTCTAGGGGTCACTATGGGGAATGGTATACCCACGCCACCATGCTGAGGGGAGTGCATGCTAGAAACCATGGCGAGCACTAAGTACCAACTCTACCATATTGCCATGGGAGTCGCCCCTGCGACGTTAGACGGCTGTCAGTGACGTTATTCCCCACGGCCAAAGGCCTAGGCTACATACCCCAAAAAACTTACCTGTTAGGGCCAGAACTCCTGGGCCCTGGGTAGAGCTCAAGGCTTGGAATCAGGAATAGATTCCTTTAAGGGAATACGACAAAGAGCCTAGAATCATACTAAGTCTTGGCCTGTCACACAGGGGCTACCGCACGCTCTGCATATGCTAAAGGAACTGTCTCAACAGACCCCTAGTAGCAACACCCTGTTAAGGTAGGTATCCAGAGGATACATCTTTTTTTTTGGCCAGCATCTCTCTATAACGACATCTTCTCATAACCGCTTTCGCGCATCGCCTCGATGTTGGCATAACTCGTATGCTGGAAACGATGGATGCGTGAGGAAAAAATGGCCTCTTCCTTTCCTTCTCAATCTCTGTATGGAAAACAGGAAGAAAAGAAGGCTCACCTGAGCTGCAGGGTTATGGCCAGAAAAATATCATTTATCGTTTTTTTAGTTTTTTTTTAAATAGACGACCTCACAATGTCATTTTCTTCACCCGCTTCACGGCAAGTAAAGCCTCGCTGTGGCGCGATCCATAACTTTCAAAAGCTCATCATACGCAGGGCAGGAGAATTGGGAAAGCTCAGCCTCAGCTTTTTTGCCCTCCTCAGACATTTTCCTGCTTTCCAGCAGAGCACTGGCCCCTGGATCAGACAATGTTAATGAAATAACATCATCCTCCAGTGGCTCACTCTCGTCCACAGCCGACGATCGCGAGAAGGAAAACCCCTCTTCAAACTCATCGGCCAGATCCACATGCGATCCCCATGAGTTCATTCTCCTCCGTGCCTCAGCAGCAGCAGATCCTGAATCGCGGGAAGCAGGTGGCTGCCCCTCTTTCCTCGAAAAGAGACACAAACGAGAGCGGAGATTTTTCCTTGAAAAAACGCTCTTGGTGCACGCCGATTGCCCCCTCGGAGACATCGCGTGCATGCACTTCGCGCAAACAAATAACGCATAGATCGTGTGTGTCATCAGATGTTAAACAACGACAACACGGACGCACACCTCCTCTAAACGCTTTGCTAGTGCTCGCCATAATGAGATGAATAGATCGCTCTTACCACAGAAATGCACGCTTCAAACAAAACAGTCAGTGAAGACGAAGAAGTGGATGATGTGTTCTCTCGGCGCCTATTTATACCATAGTCACACCGGTAGTGATGTCATGGCTGTCGCCGGCCAACGTGTTGTTGGTGTTTTTTCAATGTATGCTTCAGACACGGGTCACGACGAGGCGTTCCCCATAGCGACCCCTAGAAGCAGATGGCTGCCCCTCTTTCCTCGAAAAGAGACACAAACGAGAGCGGAGATTTTTCCTTGAAAAAACGCTCTTGGTGCACGCCGATTGCCCCCTCGGAGACATCGCGTGCATGCACTTCGCGCAAACAAATAACGCATAGATCGTGTGTGTCATCAGATGTTAAACAACGACAACACGGACGCACACCTCCTCTAAACGCTTTGCTAGTGCTCGCCATAATGAGATGAATAGATCGCTCTTACCACAGAAATGCACGCTTCAAACAAAACAGTCAGTGAAGACGAAGAAGTGGATGATGTGTTCTCCCGGCGCCTATTTATACTATAGTCGCACCGGTAGTGACGTCATGG